TTTATTGTATTTTACTTTATTTATTCATTCACTCATTGATTCATTTATGTGTGTATTACTTTATTTTGATATATTTTCTCTCAGTATTTAAGTGAAATTATCATAGACTGTATATAGGTAATTATTCGTGGGATTAATATTATCCAATGACAGATCGATGCCTGGAGAGAAGAACTACAACTACTGCACAACATCCCCCACGTCAGCTAAACGTAGTCACGTGACTGCACACTGACGACGTATCACCGGATAGGCTACATACCCGGAAGCAGCCAGGCTCTGCAGCCAGCTGATGGAGCTTCTGGAGAAATAAGACGTTGAGTGATTGAATTATTCCGAGAGCTCTTGTTAATGTTAGCAGGCAGCTGAGCCGCACGGGTCCCAGCTACTCTCAGAAGAAGAACAACAAGTGACTGTGTGCAGACACTGGTTGTTAGCTGCTGCCGCTGGACGCGTGTCACCTTTTGTTTATCGTCGTGTTGTTTGTGTGTTTGTCAGCTGGCCGCTGGAGCTCGCTATGGACGGCGGCACGGCGGCGGAGTCGGAGGACTGTGGCCCCGACAGGAGGCGCAGGGTGCACGGCATGCTGAAGCTCTACTACGGCCTGAACGAGGAGGGGAAGTCCGCGGATGAGCCGGACTCCCTGGATCCCTGCGACATCAACGGGCCTCATTTTGACCCGGAGCACTACCTGAACAAGGTGAGAGAGCTCTGCTGTCACAGGACCTCTGCACTGTGTGAGGTTCCAGCTGCTGTCAGGACCAGTGTTATATTAAACTACACAACACTATCAACAATGCTTACAGTAGCTGCTCATTCACTTGATATACATGTCAAGCAAAACAATTCAATTTACTGGTATTTGCTGAATTTACACCCATTTCCTGGCTGCGTTTGACACCCCTTTCTTTAAAGCAGTTATAAGGATAATTTCCTAATGGAAAACAAAGATGTACTTAATAAAGTCTGTCATTTGACTTTTTTTTATGAATTATACATCTACTCTTTTTATGAGTGACTGACCGTTCCATGTCTTCTCTCCGAATGCAGCTCAGAAGAGAGTGCTCTCTTGCGGAGCTGATGGACCAGGAGACCTGCATGGTGAAGCAGATACGCTCTTTAGACAGTGACATGCAGACGCTGGTGTATGAAAACTACAACAAGTTCATATCTGCTACAGGTGAGTGAACATCTCACTTCAGACTTGTTCACATTTCACGATTTTCAGCTCGATTTGCCAGTTGCTGATGAGTTTTGCAAGTCGCAGACAAAAGCCTCCTATAGGTGTCCGACTGGCAGTCGCCCATAGCTAAGTGTGAACTCTTCGAATAAAGAGGCTCACAGACACGTACCCTCATGTAAGGAACAAGGCAACAAACTCAGTGCAGCTTACATACTCGGCTTCGGACACAAAAAACGAAATGCCTGTCAGGTTTGGTTAGTTTTCACTCTGGCTCAGATGGGTTCAGACCATAGACTGCTTATAAAGAGGTTCAGACAGAGCAGCGTTTCACCTCCTCCAGCTGTGTCGCTCTGAGCAGGATGACAGAAGAGCAGGAGGATTTCCTCTCAGATTCCCTGTGTCTCTTCTTTCGTTCTCCTGGTGAAACATTGTGTAGTGTGTGAACCCCCATCGCCATTTAATCATGTAGTTTGAACTTACAATGCTGCAATCTACCAATCATAAGACAGCAAGTCATGTATGCCGTAGCGACCTGACGACTTTGAAAGTAGTATAGTGTGAACTCGGCTTTGCTTTTGTTGAAATGAAAAAGTTTTGTTAAATTGTGAGTAGCTAGATTGTTGAGCAACCCCTCCATGTTTCCAGATACCATAAGAAAGATGAAGAATGACTTCAAAAAGATGGAAGATGAAATGGACTGTCTGTCTGCTAACATGGCAGCAATCACAGAGTTCAGTGCCTCTATCAGTGGTACTCTACAGGACCAGCACACACAGATTACAAAACTGTCAGGTGAGACCCACACTGGATTCATTTTGTTCATTCATCTTTGGGGCAGCAGGCTTTATAATGGTTATTTTCTTTTTGTCTTGGCATATTTCTTTCCAGGGGTTCACACTCTGTTGAGGAAGCTCCAGTTTCTGTTTGAGCTGCCGGCTCGATTGAACAAGTGTCTGGAGCTGCAGGCCTACGCTCAGGCGGTGAGCTCCCACCGCCGTGCCCGCTGTGTGTTGCAGCAGTACAGCCACCTGCCCTCCTTTAAGGGGATTCAGGATGACTGTCACGCCATCATCGACAAGCTGGCGCAGGAGCTTCGACAGAAGTTCAGGTGGGAATTGATGCCACTGTGAGGAGCCATGACACTAAAGAATAATTTTTACTGCTGGAAAGAGATGGGACTAATATGAGTGCATGCAGGTTTATGAATGCACAGAAATAAAGATTAA